GGGTGAAGTTGGCGAGTAGCTGGGAGAGGTTGGGGAGTAGCTGGGGGAAGTTGGGGAGTAGCTGGGGGAAGTGGGTGAGTAGCTGGGGGAAGTGGGTGAGTAGCTGGGAGAGGTGGGAGAGTAGCTAGGAGAGGTTGGGGAGTAGCTGGGAGAGGTCGGGGAGTAGCTGGGAGAGGTCGGGGAGTAGCTGGGAGAGGTCGGGGAGTAGCTGGGTGATGTGGGACTGTAGTTGGGACTGGTTGGAGAATAGGATGGAGAGGTCGGGGAGTAGGAGGGTGAAGTGGGGGAATAAGATGGACTCTGGGGCGTATAGCCCCCAGGGGAGCGGGGCTCGTAGGCAGGCGACGTCGGGGAGTAGCTGGGAGACATGGCACCACCTGTGAGAGAAGAAGGGAGTTAAATTACGGAGACTTTCCTAGAAGAAAGGATCAAAGAGGAAGTAAACTTGGCCTTGTCAGAGAAGGACAACTCACCGGGTGAGGGGATATATGGGCTTGATGGGCCCGGGGAGCCTGGGGAGCCTGGCGTGGGAGACCAGGCCGGGGAGTAACCGGGGCTGAAGCCGCTGGCATCTGAAGCAGCGCTAGGAGAGAAGCCTGCTGCCCCCGGGGTCATCCCGCTCCCTGCAAAGTGAGAGAAACATTAGTTAAAACCAGAGCTGGAGACCAAGACCTCCCCAGAGCTCCTGGGCCTCCAGTGTCCCAGCTAGGTGACTCTTTGGGAGCCCAGCCCTCCGGCCTTTTGAACCACCCAGAGGCTGGTCTTCCTGGGTGTCACTCACCAACACTAGGGGACCAGGCGCCATAGGCTGGGGTTGCACCCTGGTTCCAGGGTGTCATGGCTGGAGAAATTCCTCCCATGGGACTGGGTGCTGAGCCGAAGAACATGCCGGTGGCTGCAGAGAGGCACACAGTGACCCACGAGGAACAGCACCCGGGGATGGGCCACCCTCCCCCCGACCATGCCCCCCGCAGACCCCGTACTCACGGCCGGCGGCCCCCAGGCCGGGGATGTTGGTGGGGATCTCCATGCCGTACTTGCACTTCTCCGCATCGAGCAGGAGGTCAAAACAGCCAGTGCCGGCCGGAGCCAGCTGGCCCAGCATGATGTTCTCGGACACCCCCTTCATGGGGTCGCTCTCTCCATGTGCAGCTGCTTCCATGAGCACATCC